GCGAGTAAGGGGAGAGGAAAAGTTATCCGTATGGTCCACCAGAGTACTCGCTCCTACCGGTGAGCCTGGTCTTTTAGTGGACAGGTGGATACAAGATGACCAGTAGTCCCGCAATACAGGTAACTCTTCGTATGAAGCTTGTATTGCCGTTCAGCTGGAGACAGCCTAGCTCTGCCTAGTTGCATCGGCTCGGGAAGAGGTGAATCGTCAGACTTCGTAGACTCTTGGGGGAACTCGGGTAGCCTCGGGTTATGCACTGTAATGTCCATAGCCTGTCAGTTTAAGTAACTGGATACAACATTGGCTTTTTCATGTTAGCAACATTATGAAGATATACTACAAGCAAAAATGTCTGAGTATATATTTAGCATGTAAGGACAGTAACCCATGGAATGATCACACAAATAAAATAACTCAACCTTTCATAGGTCTCCCTCAAATCCACAATGGTTTAAATCTCAAAACAATGTCTTACTCTATACTTACTCTTAACACATATGGTTAAGTCAGGGTTGGGGTCAATTCAATTTCAATTCAGAAGGTAAACTGAAATTCAAATTTGAGGAAAATTTGGAATTGGAATTTCTGTTTACTTCCTGAATTGACAGAATTGAAAAGGAAGTGACCCCAAACTGGGTGTAAGTTGCATTGTCTTCATCTGGCACAATTATTGTGCATAATATTAATATCACATGGTATATATACACTACCGGTCAAAAGTTTTGGAACACCTACACATTCAAGGGTTTATCATTATTTGGACTATTTTCTACAATGTAGAATAATAGGGAAGACATCTAAACTATGAAATAACACATATGAAATCATGTAGTAGCCAAAAAAGTGTTAAACAAATCAAAATATATTTTATATTTGAGATTCTTCAAACAGCCACCTTTTCTTTAATGACAACTTTGCACACTCTTGGCATTCTCTCAACCAGCTTCACCTGGAATGCTTTTCCAACATTCTTGAAGGAGTTCTGACATATGCTGAGCACCTGTTGGCTGCTTTTCCTTCACTCTGCCGTCCGACTCATCTGAAACCATTTCAATTTGCTTGAGGTCGGAGGATTGTGGAGGCCATGTCATCTGATGCAGCACTCCATCACTCTCCTTCTTGGTAAAATAGCCCTTACACAGCCTGGAGGTGTGTTGGGTCATTGTCCTGTTGAAAAACAAATGATAGTCCCACTAAGCCCAAACCAGATGGGGTGGCGTATCGCTGCAGAATGCTGTGGTAGCAATGCTGGTAAAGTGTGCCTTGAATTCTAAATGAATCACAGACAGTGTCACCAGCAAAGCAGCCCCACACCATAACAGCTCCTCCATGCCTTACCTTGGGAAGTACACATGCAGAGATCATCCATTCACCCACACCGCGTCTCACAAAGACACGGCAGTTGGAACCAAAAATCTCAAATTTGGACTCCAGACCAAAGGGCAAATTTCCACCGGTATAATGTCCATTGCTCGTGTTTCTTGGACCAAGCAAGTCTCTTCTTCTTATTGGTGTCCTTTAGTAGTGGTTTCTTTGCAGCAATTCGACCATGAAGGCCTGATTCACACAGTCTCCACTAAACAGTTCATGTTGAGATGTGTCTGTTACTTGAACTCCGTGAAGCATTTATTTGGGGTGCTATTTCTGAGGCTGGTAACTCTAATGAACTTATCCTCTGCAGCAGAGGTAACTCTGGGTCTTCCATTCCTGTGGGGGTCCTCTTGAGAGCCTGTTTCATCATAGCGCTTGATGGTTTTTGCGACTGCACTTAAAAAAACTTTCAAAGTTCTTGAAATGTTCCATGTTGACTGACCTTCATGTGTTAAAGTACTGATGGACTGTCTTTTCTCTTTGCTTATTTGAGCTATCTTCTGTATACCCCCCCCCCCTACAGTGGCTTCCGAAAGTATTCACCCCCTTGGCATTTTTCCTATTTTGTTGCCTTACAACCTGGAATTTAAATGGATTTTTGGGGGGTTTGTATCATTTGATTTACACAACATGCCTACCACTTTGAAGATGCAAAATTTTTTTTTTTTGCGAAACAAGCAAGAAATAAGACAAAAAAACAGAATTTGAGCATGCATGACTATTCACCCCCCCCCCCCCCCCCCCCAAGTCACTCTGTAAAGCCTTTTGCATCAATTACAGCTGCAGGGATGTAGCTCAGTAGATAGAGCATGGCGTTTGCAACGCCTGGGTTGTGGGTTCGTTTCCCACAGGGGGTATGAAAAAATAATAATAATATGTATGCACTAACTGTAAGTCGCTCTGGATAAGAGCGTCTGCTAAAATGACTAAAATGTAAAATGTAAATGTAAGTCACGGTATGTCTCTATAAGCTTGGCACATCTAGCCAATGGGATTTTTTCCCATTCTTCAAGGCAAAACTGCTCCAGCTCCTTCAAGTTGGATAGGTTCTGCTGGTGTGTACAGCAATCTTTAAGTCATACCACAGTTTCTCAATTGGATTGAGGTCTGGGCTTTGACTAGGCCATTCCAAGACATTTAAATGTTTCCCAGTCAACCAATCGAGTGTTGCTTTAGCAGTATGCTTAGGGTCATTGTCCTGCTGGAAGGTGAACATCCATCCCAGTCTCAAATCTCTGGAAGACTGAAACAGGTTTCCCTCAAGAATTTCTCTGTATTTAGCGCCATCCATAATTCTTTCAATTCTGACCAGTTTCCCACTCCCTAACGATGAAAAACAAACTGCAGTACTTAATGCAGCTAGTGGCCACACCAGATACTGACTGTTACTTTAGATTTTGACCCCCCCTTTGTTCAGGGACATTATTCCATTTCTGTTAGTCACATGTCTGTGGAACTTGTTCAATTTATGTCTCAGTTGTTGAATCTTATGTTCATACAAATATTTACACATGTTAAGTTTGCTGAAAATAAACAGTTGACAGCGAAAGGACGTTTCTTTTTTTTGCAGTTTATATATTATGTTACATACAGTGGGGAAAAAAAGTATTTAGTCAGCCACCAATTGTGCAAGTTCTCCCACTTAAAAAGATGAGAGAGGCCTGTAATTTTCATCATAGGTACCCGTCAACTATGACAGACAAAATGAGGGAAAAAAATCCAGAAAATCACATTGTAGGATTTTTAATGAATTTATTTGCAAATTATGGTGGAAAATAAGTATTTGGTCAATAACAAAAGTTTCTCAATACTTTGTTATATACCCTTTGTTGGCAATGACACAGGTCAAACGTTTTCTGTAAGTCTTCACAAGGTTTTCACACACTGTTGCTGGTATTTTGGCCCATTCCTCCATGCAGATCTCCTCTAGAGCAGTGATGTTTTGGGGCTGTCGCTGGGCAACACAGACTTTCAACTCCCTCCAAAGATTTTCTATGGGGTTGAGATCTGGAGACTGGCTAGGTCAATCCAGGACCTTGAAATGATTCTTACGAAGCCACTCCTTCGTTGCCCGGGCGGTGTGTTTGGGATCATTGTCATGCTGAAAGACCCAGCCACGTTTCATCTTCAATGCCCTTGCTGATGGAAGGAGGTTTTCACTCAAAATCTCACGATACATGGCCCCATTCATTCTTTCCTTTACACGGATCAGTCGTCCTGGTCCCTTTGCAGAAAAACAGCCCCAAAGCATGATGTTTCCACCCCCATGCTTCACAGTAGGTATAGTGTTCTTTGGATGCAACTCAGCATTCTTTGTCCTCCAAACACGACGAGTTGAGTTTTTACCAAAAAGTTATATTTTGGTTTCATCTGACCATATGACATTCTCCCAATCCTCTTCTGGATCATCCAAATGCACTCTAGCAAACTTCAGACGGGCCTGGACATGTACTGGCTTAAGCAGGGGGACACGTCTGGCACTGCAGGATTTGAGTCCCTAGCGGCGTAGTGTGTTACTGATGGTAGGCTTTGTTACTTTGGTCACAGCTCTCTGCAGGTCATTCACTAGGTCCCCCCGTGTGGTTCTGGGATTTTTGCTCACCGTTCTTGTGATCATTTTGACCCCACGGGGTGAGATCTTGCGTGGAGCCCCAGATCGAGGGAGATTATCAGTGGTCTTGTATGTCTTCCATTTCCTAATAATTGCTCCCACAGTTGATTTCTTCAAACCAAGCTGCTTACCTATTGCAGATTCAGTCTTCCCAGCCTGGTGCAGGTCTACAATTTTGTTTCTGGTGTCCTTTGACAGCTCTTTGGTCTTGGCCATAGTGGAGTTTGGAGTGTGACTGTTTGAGGTTGTGGACAGGTGTCTTTTATACTGATAACAAGTTCAAACAGGTGCCATTAATACAGGTAACGAGTGGAGGACAGAGGAGCCTCTTAAAGAAGAAGTTACAGGTCTGTGAGAGCCAGAAATCTTGCTTGTTTGTAGGTGACCAAATACTTATTTTCCACCATAATTTGCAAATAAATTCATTAAAAATCCTATGATGACAATTACAGGCCTCTCTCATCTTTTTAAGTGGGAGAACTTGCACAATTGGTGGCTGACTAAATACTTTTTCTCCCCACTGTATGATATATTATGACACATTATGCAATTCATTATGTAATGTAAAAAATATGAGTACAGCATTTATAATATTATAACAAATATTACTTTTAAATAGCTACATAAATATTATATTCTGATCAATAAGACAATATATGGTGAACAGAACAGTCATCTTTCAATGTAGTATCCATATATTGTGTATATATTAGGGGTTAGAGGTAGCAGTCTGAAGTATATCCCTGATCATATAATTGAGACAGTAATCATGTAATCCATACATGATTCTTCAAACCACAAGATATACTATTCTGAGTCATTATTTCCCAGAGTAGTACTATATAATAATAGTTTGTATAATTTCTAGTTACTCCTTGTGTACTCGCTGGTGCAGCTGAAGAGACTAGACTTCCACAGTCTAAAGCTGTCCAGAATGTAACATGTGCTATGTCATGCCACAGGGCCATTACAAAGGAGATAGGATAAAACAGAAAAACACCTTAAAAAACACTAAAACAGTTGCATTGCATTAACCCAACCACCAAACCAAAACATTCAGCCAGGCAGCTAGCATTCACACTGAAGAACATTGTTGGGTCGGGATCTTGATCCACGTCTTGCCGAAACATCTATAAAAATAATAGCAAACATATTGAGCAACACATTCACTCTACACATACACAGTCCTATGCATTTATCCAATCAGTATATCCATCCATCCATCCAATCCGTATATACAGCGCATTCGGCAAGAATTCAGACCACTTGACTTCTCCACATTTTGTTATGTTAAAAAACTCAAATATCACATTTACATAAGTATTCAGACCCTTTACTCAGTACTTTGTTGAAGGACCTTTGGCAGCGATTACAGCCTCGAGTCTTCTTGGGTATGACGCTACAAGCTTGGCACACCTGTATTTGGGGAGTTTCTTCCATTCTTCTCTGCAGATCCTCTCAAGCTCTGTCAGGTTGGATGGGGAGCCTTGCTGCACAGCTATTTTCAGGTCTCCCAGAGATGTTCGATTGGGTTAAAGTCCAGGCCCTGGCTGGGCCACTAAAGGACATTCAGAGACTTGTCCCGAAGCCACTCCTGCGTTGTCTTGGCTGTGTGTTTAGGGTCGTTGTCTTGTTGGAAGGTGAACCTTCGCCCCAGTCTGAGGTCCTGAGCAGGTTTTCATCAAGGATCTCTCTGTACTTTGCTCCGTTCATCTTTCCCTCGATCCTGACTAGTCTCCCAGTCCCTGCCCCTGAAAAACATCCCCACAGCATGATGCTGCCACCACCATGCTTCACCGTAGGGATGGTGCCAGGTTTCCTCCAGACGTGACGCTTGGCATTCAGGCCAAAGAGGTCAATCAGGATTTCATCAGACCAGAGAATCTTGTTTCTCATGGTCTGAGAGTCTTTAGGTGCCTTTTGCCAAACTCCAAGCGGGCTGTCATGTGCCTTTTACTGAAGAGTGGCTTCCATCTGGCCACTCTACCATAAAGGCCTGATTGGTGGAGTGCTTCAGAGAGGTTGTCCTTCTGGAAGGTTCTCCCATCTCCACAGAGGAACTCTAGAGCTCTGTCTGAGTGACCATTGGGTTCTTGGTCACCTCCCTGATTAAGGCCCTTCTCCCCCGATTGCTCAGTTTGGCCAGGCGGCCAGCTTTAGCAAGAGTCTTGTCCTTTCCAAACTTCTTCCATTGAAGAATGATGGAGGCCACTGTGTTCTTGAGGACCTTCAATGCTGCAGAAATGATTTGGTACCCTTCCCTAGATCTGTGCCTCGACACAATCCTGTCTCGGAGCTCTACGGACACTTCCTTCGACCTCATGGCTTGGTTTTTGCTCTGACATGCACTGTCGACTGTGGGACCTTATATAGACAGGTGTGTGCCTTTCCAAATCATGTCCAATCAATTGAATTTACCACAGGTGGACTCCAATCAAGTTGTAGAAACATCTCAAGGATGATAAATGGAAACAGAATGCACCTGTGCTCAATTTCGAGTCTCATAGCAAAGGGTTTGAATACTTACGTAAATAATGTATTCGTTTTTTTTATACATTTGCAAAAAAATCTAAAAACCTGTTTTCGCTTTGTCATTATGGGGTATTGTGTGTAGATTGCTGAGGATTTTTTTTTTTTCATCCATTTTAGAATAAGGCTGTAACCTAACAAAATGTGAAAAAATTCAAGGGGTCTGAATACTTTCTGATGGCATCCATCCATTAACCCATCCATCCGAGCCATATATCCATCCAATCCATATATACATCCATCCAATCCGTATATACATCCACCCAATCCATATATATACATCCATCCATCCTTTAAATCTATCCATCCAATCCATATCCATCTATCCGTCCATCCATACAATCCATGTATCCATACAATCCGTATATCCATCCATCCATTAATCCATACCTCTTCTTTAATACATATGCTGCCAGCACAGCCAGCAGTATCACAGTGATGACCACACCCATCAGAACCCAGGTACCTGTGTTGTTCCTAGCATCTGTGTATGTGAGAGGAGAGAGAGACTGAGCACACAGAAAACCTCCCCATATGTCTCAATCCAGCTACAGATCAGAGCCAGAGATCTGACTAACACTCAATCTGTGTTTGTTTAGCCTGAGTGCCTCTGCTCTGTCATTGCCCCACTCCATAGGCCGGGCAGCAGTGGAGTGTTTTTCAAGTGTTTAATTGCAAGATAAAGATGTATTGAATTGAGTCAACTCATAGAGCTGATAATCTCTGGTTATCTCAGCTGTAACACTCCTTCTGAGCCTAGCTGAGCCTCTGAGGTTAAATAAGATCCTGTTAGAGTAGATAAACACACCTGAGGATAAGCTAATGTGAGATAATAAACAGTTGATCCATATCAAAGTGAACCTGGGTGTAAACACAGGGAGAGAAGGGAGAGTGGTAAAGTGACAACACACCAAGTTCTTGATGAGTCAGGTCAACTGTTATATCTTCCAGTTTTTCCCCAGGATAGTCAGGTCTTTTCTTTGAACCGGGTTCAATGTGCGCAGTCAGATTGGCTACAGTAAAGCAAGCCGTGTCAGATTGAAAAGGTGAAACGGTATTACTCTAACCTTGATTGATGGGGACATGGTCATTACTGAGGAGATTGGTGGCAGGTTTGTAAGGTCCATTACTGCAGTTAGCTGGAGAACACAAAATAAAAGAGATGAATCAGTCATTTGTCTGCCACACCACAGTAAAAGTATTGCTGCTATGCTGTCTGTCAACTGTGACAAACTTCCCCTGTCACTCATTCATACAACAGCCTCTAGCAGCATTGTTCTTAGTGTGTGTGTGTGTGTGTTTACTCACTGAGGCACTGCACCTCCCAAAATGGTGCCTGTAAGAGAGAGAAAAAATGGGTTGAAGAGGACAGAGAGAGAGAGAGAGAACATGCTAGTAGATATCCTGAACATGTCAGGACTTATACCATCACTCACATGACATACCCCTCCCACCCCTGTCCATCCTGATAAAGTAGGTAACAAGTTAAATACTGGAAGTGTAGACACACACTAAGACATAGACAGACACATGATCTTATTGGTGTATCTTAAACCATGTCCTTGCTTCATCAGATCCAACAGAAACACTAGAGTAACCACTACCTGTAACAGCAACATACCACAGGCTGTGTGCAGTCCACTGAGTAGGTCAGTCTGTCCAGGCAGCCTAAGATAGTGATGGAGTGACTGGTCTGAGCCAAAGTACGGTTTTCATCCATCTCTTTGTCATTGGCAAGAACAGTGCTCTAAATAAAGTAAAATAGACAACATAAGTAAGAGGTCTAACATAAAGTACTGTAGTTCAGTGTTTCCCAACTCCTGGTCCTAAACAACTCCTGGGTGCGCAGGCTTTTGTTCAAGCTCAGCACTAACACACTGCATTGCTCATCAAGACCATGATTAGTTGAACCATGTGGGCTATGTTTGTGCTGGGCTGGAGCAGAAGGCTGAAGCTCTTTAGAACCAGGCTTACAATTACTTGAACATTTTACCAACAGATGTAACTCCTTAATGAGTCGTCATATTGTTGGTATCTTCTGCTGTCACTCACGTTTTCATCCAACCACTGGGTCTCGCAATTGGCCAAAGGCAGAATTTCAGGGAGGTCATAGGTCGTTGTATGGTTAGGATGTTGGGTCACCTTACAGTTAATGTTGTGAGTGCCTACAACAGGCAGCAGACACCCCACTAGAACTGTGTGAAAAAGAGAGAACTCAGTTACAACTTTACTCCATGAATCACATTTCCTTTTGTCACTGTTGCATCAGTTAGGCTATTGCAGAAGCTAAATCAACCCAGTAAATCTCACCACACACAAGCACAATGTATCTATGCATTGTTGGAGAGATGTAGCATGTAAAAAAACTAAACAGCAGACTAAATTGTTTGTGGAATGCGAGTGTTATTGTGTTGGGAGAAGATTGGGGAAAGTGATCAAACATAACATCAATATGCTTGAACTGTGTCTGAGAGTTACTCTCATACGCTCCACTAGGCCTATATACTGTAACAGTCTCCACCCATAAAGGCGCACGCTGGCTTTTAAACCCGCTTATGCTTGACTGGACTGGCTCATGGGGATTCCCCCCATAGACTTGGATTCGCTTGCTTGGCACTAGCATGGTATCTGCTACTGTAATGTACAAATCAACCTACATGGAGAAGCCTATTTCGGCCCATTCAATGGCTCGGCGATCGGGTCTAGTATGCATGCGTTATCTATTGGTAGCTTTGTTTTGTATGTTTTTATTGGAATTAAAATGGAGTGAATGATCAGTTACAAAGTAAGCACGTTCCTCCTAATTTATGAAATACCGGTAGTCCTGAAAACACATTTTAAAACAAATGTACGGTGGTCTTAACAGACTTTAAAATCCATCTCATCACGTTTATACAAATACGTTGATAAAATCTGATACAATTAAATGAGTGTGTAATATACGCAGTTTAAAATGCGCACACACAATAACCTACAGATGCGGAGACAGCTGAGAAAGAAAACGCACTATTTTTTACAGTGACCGAGGTCACATTGTAACAAGTGTAAAAGTTGCATGCAAAAATGTATCGCCATGCTGTAAAATTACTACTTACTGTACGCGCAAGTCAGTTTCCACAACATGCCAGAACCAGAAGTTGTAGGAATAATCATTTTAAATAACCGAGACGGCGATACAGTTTAGGTATGTGGCGTCAGCCGTGAGAAATCTAGCCTAATAGCCCTTTGGTAGGCGGTGTAGTGATCGGTGACGCATGGTGACAACGATATCATACGACTTCTCAGTATGGTCTGCCGCATGACGGAAATACAACTCATAGTAGGGTTGCATGCTCGTTGAGTCCACGAAAATTGGGATACTTTGAAAACAATGTCGCAGGTGAAAATGTATTGGTTGCAGATTGCGGGTTTTTGGGTTACTTCTAAATTGCACCGAGAACGCCATGGCATTTCTCTTAAAAATAAATAACAAATAATAATTATATATCATTTATATATCACTGTGACCTGCTACTGCTGACTATCAGGCAGTGAGGCAGGCTGTTGCTCAGTGTTGGGGAGGGCCGGAGGGTGAGTGTTGATAGAGCACAGCAGCACGCAGCTTAGCCCACTATTGGCTGACATTAAATGTGGAGAATGATATATTTGCATCTGTTGGCCATCAAGTAGCCTATTAATTTACACTATATGCAAAATGATCTGGACAACGCTTCAAATTAGTGGATTCGGCTATTTCAGCCACACCCATTGATGACAGGTGTATAAAATTGAGCACACGGGTCATGCAATCTCCATAGACAGACATTGGCAGTAGAATGGCATTACTGAAGAGCTCAGTGACTTTACATTTGGCACCTTCATAGGATGCTACCTTTCCAACAAGTCAGTTTGTAAAAATGTCTGCCCTGCTAGAGCTGCCCCGGTCAAGTGCTATTATTGTGATGTAGAAACGTCTAGGACAGGACTGCCCAACCCTGTTCCTGGAGAGCTACTGTCCTGTAGGTTTTTGCTCCAACCCTAATCTAGCACACCTGATTCTAATAATTAGCAGGTTGATAAGATGAATCAGGTTAGTAATACCTGGGGTTGGAGCAAAAGCCTACAGGAGGGTAGCTCTCCGGGAACAGGGTTGGGCAACCCTGGTCTAGGAGCAACAACGCTGTGAAGTGGTAGGCCACACAAGCTCACAGAACGGGACCACCAAGGGCTGAAGTGTGTAGTGCGTTAAAATCGTCTGTCCTCGGTTACAACACTCACTACAGAGTTCCAAACTGCCTCTGGAAGCAACATCAGCACAATAACTGTTCGTAGGAAGCTTCATGAAATGGGTTTCCATGGCTGAGCAGCCACACACAAGCCTAAGATCCCCATGCGCAATGCCAAGCATCGGCTGGAGTGGTGTAAAGCTTGCCGCCATTGAACTCTGGAGCAGTGGAACGTGTTTTCTGGAGTGATGACGCATCGTCATCTGGCAGTCCGGTGGACAAATCTGGGTTTGGCGGATGCCAGGAGAACGCTACTTGCCCCAATGCACAGTGCCAACTGTAAAGTTTGGTGGAGTAGGAATAATGGTCTGGGGCTATTTTTCATGGTTTGGGCTAGGCCCCTTAGTTCCAGTGAAGGGAAATCTTAACGATACAGCATACAATGACATTCTAGACGATTTTGTGCTTCCAACTTTGTGGCAACAGTTTGGGGAAGGCCCTTTCTTGTTTCAGCATGACAATGCCTCCGTGCACAAAGCGAGGTCCATACAGAAATGGTTTGTCGAGATCGGTGTGGAAGAACTTGACTGGCCTGTGCAGAGCCCTGACCTTAACCCCAACAAACACCTTCGGGATGAATTGGAACGCAGACTGTGAGACAGGCCTAAATGCCCAACATCAGTGCCTGACCTCACTAATGCTCTTGTGGCAAGTCCCTGCAGCAATGTTCCAACATCTAGTGGAAAGCCTTCCCAGAAGAGTGTAGGCTGTTGTATCAGCAAAGGAGGGACCAACTCCATATTAATGCCCATGATTTTGGACTGAAATGTTTGATGAGCAGGTGTCCACATAATTTTGGTCAGGTAGTGTTTATGCCATTGTAGGCTACTGTAGGCTGCCATTTGATACAATAAATATGTTGAAATGACTATATCATTGGAGTCATTGCAACTCAATTCATGACACATGTGTATCATACCTGGAGCTGGCAAATTGATTTAATAAATAGCCTATAACTTCAGTGTATTGTTTTTGTAGCCTTGTGTTACTATGCAATTATTAATGGCCATGTTTAGTTCAATATATTGGAAGTTATCAAAATCAAAGCTTAGTCTGTTAATTTGAACTAAGCAAGCTGCTAAATCGTTCACTTTCCTACATTTTGCCTAGGCTACTGTAGACGATCTGAAGATGTAGGCCTATCAGGGACGATAGGCTACCTGCTATAAGCTACCTGCATCTAAGCAAGCCATGGCAACATTTTCCTACAGTATGTCAGGACTATGGAACACCACCCAGAGTGTCAGAGCCCCAGACATCCTATTAAACATGTAACTCTATACTGAGAGCAGTGTTTTATATGGAAAGTTGTGCCCATGCCATGTCAATGCTCACTCCTTGACCCTAGTGTAGTAAGGCAGGGAAGACAGGAGAATGGTACTGGCAGGAGTAGGCCTGGAGCACAGCAGGCAGGAGTCAGGTGTCAAAGACTAGAGACAGTTGTTATATTTGTTTATTAGCTAAAGAAAACTGGAACCTGTTGCATGTGATAAATCTGATACACAATGCACAATAAATATCTGAGCTGAAGTTAGCTTTTGTAAGTCCACATTCTCCTTACACAGCAGATGTATGGAGCAGTGATTAAAGTCACTGTTGCCTAGCAATGTGTATTTTTCTTTGGTTTCACATGTTCTTCATAAACAACACCTCCTTCCTGTGTAGAACAGTTACTGTGAACTAACAAAGAAGAACGTGATCAGTCTTACGTCATCCCAGGGCTGCCAACTCTCACGCATTCCATATGAGGATGTGGCTGCAGTGAGGATGGTTGGCTGTTTGTCATGTTCTGGCCAGAACCGATGAAGAATTCACAGAGTCCACACCCCTTCCTGTTCTTGGATGTCTTTAAGCAGGGGTCTTGCAGATAAATGTACGGTGAGGTCATAACTCTGTAGCAATCAAACAGCAGTACGAAGCTGAGTGGTTGGGCCTATAGACTGAGTGGTTGGGCCTATAGACTGAGTGGTTGGGTCTATAGACTGAATGGTTGAGCCTATAGACTGAGTGGTTGAGCCTATAGACTGAGTGGTTGAGCCTATAGACTGAGTGGTTGAGCCTATAGACTGAGTGGTTGAGCCTATAGACTGAGTGGTTGGGCCTATAGACTGAGTGGTTGAGCCTATAGACTGAGTGATTGAGCCCAGCATAAGCAACATAAACGGTCGCTTAGGGCACCAGGCTGCTAGGGGGCCCATTGATTTTGTTAGTCACTCTCACCCAGATATCATTAACATGGTATACATCATGGCAAAATGTGACTCTTGTAAATAGCTACTCATTTTTACATTTTAGTCATTTAGCAGACACTCTTATCCAGAGCGACTTACAGTTAGTGAGTGCATTCATTTTCATACTGCCCCCCGCGGGAAAACAAACCCACAACCCTGGCGTTGCAAGCGCCATGCTCTACCAACTGAGCTACAGGGGACTACTCCCCTGCCCAGCTACCGGGGATTGGTTCTAAACACCCAACCCCCAAAAAACAGTGCCTCAGCTCAGAGACAAAGTTCCCCTTCACTCACACACAGACATAATTCCCCTTCATTCATAACAACAGGCAGAGCAGGAGGAGTGCAAAAAGAGAAAAGGTCAAGCAGCTATGTACTCTGTCTCTGGGGCTTCCCGTGGTGCTAGCTGGCCCAGGCCATTCCTCTGCTCTCTGACACCACATGCCCCTGCAAGAATATACTTTATAGACATTTTTGTTGTGTTTAATAGCCAAATGGAAAATTAAACCATTTTAACAGAATAGAGGCCCAACTTATTTCACATATTTTCTTAGTGTAAAGACAGCCATAAGGACACATTCCAAATACCTAACATTGACTGTCATATTAACATTGACTCCATAATAGCCTTGACTGTCACACTGAGATTGACTGTCACACTGAGATTGACTGTTATGCTGACATTTACTGAACACGTAGACATTTCTTTCTATTAATGATTGTAACAAATGTAATGTCTTGAGTTTGATTGTGGATCTATCTTCCTCTGCCAGAAATGAAGTATTTCAGGTGTGTGTGTTTTAAATGAAATGGGCAACAATGAGTATCTCAAACATTCTTAAGAGGTACCATTGTTCCTCCTCTGTGTTAGTCTACGACCATGTGAATCTTACACAGTTTGGACTACTCTACGTCTATGAGGATCAGTGCTACACATGCTGGCAATAAAGGGTATGTCATTCTCTGGGACTAATGTTGGTCTACCTACCATGATATGATATATTGGAGTGTACAAAACATTAGGAACACCTTCCTCATATTGAGCTGCACCCCCTCCTTTTGCCCTCAGAACAGCCTCAATTCATCGGGGCATGGAAAGCGTTCCACAGGGATGCTTGCCCATGTTGACTCCAATGCTTCCCACAGTTGTGTCAAGTTGGCTGGATGTTCTTTGGGTGGTGGACCATTCTGGATACACATGGGAAACTGTTGAGCGTGAAAAACTCAGCAGCGTGGCAGTTCTTGACACACTCAAACCGGTGCGCCTGGCACCTACTACCATACTCTGTTCAAAGGCACTTAAATCACCCTCTGAATGGCACACATACACAATCCATATCTCAATTAGCATACCTAGCCATGTCTCAATTAGCCTACCTAGCCATATCTCAATTAGCTTACCTAGCCATGTCTCAATTAGCCTACCTAGCCATGTCTCAATTAGCCTACCTAGCCATGTCTCAATTGTCTCAATACTTAAAAATCCTTCTTTAACCTGTCTCCTCCCCTTCATCTACCCTGATTGAAGTGAGTTTAACAAGTGACATCAATAAGGGATCATAGCTTTCACCTGGATTCACATGGTCAGTCTATGTCATGGAAAGAGCAGGTGTGTTCCTAATGTTTTGTACATTTCTTTTATATATTTTATTTTATTTCACCTTTATTTAACCAGGTAAGCCAGTTGAGAACAAGTTCTCATTTACAACTGCGACCTGGCCAAGATAA